CAGACAACACCCACCTTGTCGGGGGAACTGTTCCGCCAGTTTGCGCAGGCTGCTGAGGCTGTCGGCTCCCAGCTGACTGAGGATGCCGGGAAGCATCTCTGTCAGCTGCTTGGTCTCGGCGTGTCCCGTGATGGCGAAGGTGTTGGCGGACAGAGAGGCCTGAACTTTGGGGTTGTTGAAGTGGATCACGCTGCCGTCGTCCTTGATCATGTTCACCTGAGGAGAGAAGACCACTCAGGTATTAAGGATGCGGCTAAACATTCGAGTGCCAGAATGAAACAGATAAATGTTTAAAATCTGAAGGTAAACCCAACTTACCTCCTCAATTCCAGCAATATTGTTGACGGCCAGCTTCTTTAGTGAACTCTGAAGCTTTTTGTCATCAGCGGTTGCAGTTCTGTGCACCACCTTCTTCTTCCTGCGCGCAGAGCCCTGAAACCACAACCACAGACACTTGAATTTGGCTGACAAAAGTGACCGTAGCAGAAGAAAAATAAAGTCACGAGGAGAATAGATGCATAATTGTACTTTAATCCTTTAATACAAGGTTCTCGTGAATCAATAACTTCTGTTTTCAGCCTGATAAACGGCTCAGTGCTGCCGTCTATTAGGTGACTTGGCATTGCTTGTTGTTGTTGACAGATATTTAATCTGAATCCTACGGCTGCTTTTGTTTCACGTTACGCAGCTAAATAATGAATTTATACGGATCTGATGACATTTTTTATTGCAAAGCCAGTTTAATTTATATTCAAAAAACGTTGAAGCAGATCAGAGCTGGTTGAGCAGAAGACCTCTGATGATCTGAGATGAATAACTCAGAAGGGAATCTGAGGACATTGTTTGGCATTTCTGTTTGAAAAATGACTTCCTGATTACTTTTCTTCCCGTGAGCAAATTGATTAATCGTCTAATCAGTGAGCTGATGTTCCACAGCCTACAGCAGCAATGACTATATAATTAATCAGATAGTTGTTCTCTATTAAATGAATCAAATCAAATCAAATTTATTGTCATTTTGCTGTACATACACAGTCGTACAGGCAAGATGAGAGAGCGTTTCTTCAGGATTATTCAACCAGAATGCCCGTCTGGGATAAGACACTGAACGTTCATCTCGTTGTCTCCTGAAGGTGACGCTGCGTCCATGCGTGCCGCCATTCGTTGAACCTGAGGAACCTCTTCAGGTCCTGGTAAGTCTTCAGGGACACAAAGACACACACGATGGTGTGATGATGGTGAAGCCGCAGATGCTGCCCGGAGCTGTCTGTCTGTCTGCATCCCCTCCAGCTGTCTGTCTGTCTGGGATGCTGTCATGGAGCCATGTTTCTGTTAAAGCAAACACACAGCAGTCCCTCCACTCTCTGCGGGTTTCTCTCAGCAAACTCGTCCAGCTTGTTGTGGAGGAAGCAGACATTGGAGAGTAGGAGGACGGTCCTGCTGGTCTGGAGGGGATAGCCTTTAGCCTAGCATGGATCCTGGCTCTCTTCATCCTCCTTTGTTTACGTTCGTACCGTTTGTGCTTCCTTCTCTCTCGGGTAACTGTCGGCGTAGTCTCCGATCGGACTCCGTGTTGGTGTAGTTTCTTGTTTATTAGGATCCCCATTAGCACCAGCATAAGCATCGGCTATTCTTCCTGGGGTCCACGTCACAACCGATCGCCACAATTCCAGCGCCGTTCACTGTCCTGACGCCCAGCAAAGTCTCCTGGCTGCAAGTTTTGCGGAATGAACGTCTGGGATAGACAAGACACTTAAAACGTTGACTTTCGTTNATGTATAATTTATATATTATAAAATGTTATATAAATATATGTATCAAATTTTACAGTAACATTGTGTATAAAGTTTTTTAATAACCTGTATTTGTCAATTTGAATATTATTAATTTATGAATATTTAAAATGTTTGACAATATATGTTTATATTCATTTTATTTTATTTTACTATTAAAGGCTTTAATTGTAGATGCTTGGATAAATATAATTATTATTTATCTACGTGTGTATCAACGTTACATAAAAACCTGTTGCATCGTAGATCTAAGATCTTGTCAGTCAGTCATGAATGCTCCGATCACATGACATCAAATCCAGTTTCTGCTATCTTGATGTCCCCTCCGGCGCTGTGACGTTACCTTTGCGTGGCTGATTGTGGATGCTGATGGCTTGTGTCTGATACTGGCCATCGTCCGCCTGCACACAGATGAGGTGGGAGTCTGCAGTCTCGTTGAAACACGCCCCGATGGCCAGCACGTGCTCATTGGACTTATTCAGAGCCTTCATTAGCTGAAGCCAGACAAATGGGTCGAGTATGAGGAATGAGGATTGATTTAAAGCACATATACAATAGGACTAACTCTGCGAGACTTACCTCGTTATACCCGGTGGTCGGTATCTTTATGAGGGTCCTCTGAGCCTCTAGATCCACAGTGAGCCCCGGCACCATTGGTAGGCTGTAACGGTAATTCCTAAAATCCTAAAAAAAAATCAAAACAGGATCAACATTTGTTATAGGTAGAAGTTAGAACACCAGCCTTCTACTGATGACGGGAAATGTCATAACAGATGTTGCGAAATGCTGCACTCACCACTAGTAGTCTCATTATGGTGTGACCTATTTCCCCAAACAAGGGCTTCCTAAAGCGCACGCTGTACAGAGGACACGGGTAGACTGGAAACAAAGACATAAACCAGGTAACTGAATGGGAACTCTGCGTCATAACGGCTGCAAGATTTCACCCGATCATCTGCCTTACATCTGTACTCGGCCCCGAGTCGCAGCATGAGGCGCAGGGGAAAAGCTTTGGCCCAGGCCACCTCCGCTCTGTGGACCAGCAGGCCAAAGAGGTAGGGCTGGTTGGGCAGAGGTAGACCTTGAAGGGACTGCAGGGTGGAGCGAACGTACAGGAAGCCGGCGTGCTCCTCGCTGCCTAAGAATCTGCTGCCGAACAGGGACAGCGACAGGTGTTTCACGACCTTCCCTGCAGGCGCAGCGACGAGAAGGACAGATGTGTAGAGATAAGAGAGGGAAAAAAAAAAAACACTTTGAGGGAGATAACGGAGCGACCGGATGTTTAATCTTTGCCTGTGCAGAGGCTTCGGTATGTGTGTGGCGCTGACCTGACAGAGTGTCCCTGTACAGCTGGATGAAGTGGCTGAAGATGTCTTTGGGGAAGCTTTTCTCTTCGGGCAGGCACTGCAGCAGCACCACCACCTCCACCTGGCCCACGGCGTGCATCCCCTTCGTCGTCACACACCAGCACTTCCTGTTGACATCTAACACACAAACAAGGGTCTGAGAGGACGTTTTGGCAAAAGAATATTCCAAAAGAGAGACGTGCATTCTGGGAGTGTGGAAAAAGGAAACGTAATGCTCTTTTCTTTTAGAGTTTTAAGATCACTGCAGCCCATTTTAGTTATGATACGTTCTCTATGCATTTTAATCATAGAAGGCACATACAGTTGACCAGCTTGACCATAGCGAGTAGATTGGCATTGAGGACGAACACCAGCGGTTTGGGTCTGCCGCTCTCCAGCTCCTGAATGAGCAGCATCTCAGAGGGCTGCTCCTCCACAGTGTAATCTGAGGAGAAAATACAAATACAGTTACACAAGCATGAGATTAATCCACAACTGCAACTGGAATGAGCCCCTCTCTTTTAAATTCTTTTCTAATCTGCTCCCCCCCTCAAAAAAGAAAAAAAAACGAGCTTCATAAAAGATTCATGTTTGAAAATGAATTCATAGCTGTGTGAAGATTAATAACGATTGTCTAAGTGCGGCACTAAATAAGAGGCGAAGACGGGCAGCTTTTATTAATGCTGTTATTCTTAGACGCCCCTGTTTAACCAGGCAAGACGAGGGCCGCGTCATTACTTGGAGTAACAGCATTAGTCAGAAGTTAGACTCAACACGTATTTTCACATCTGGGGGCTGCCTGGCTTTAATTTAGCGATACAGTCAGAAAAACTAGAAGAAAGCAGCGGGTTGTGTGCACGACGTGAAGCAGTTGCATGAAGCTGGATGTAATATTTGGACTAAATTATACTCTGTTGTGCATAAAAGGACACAAATTTCTGCAGGAGTCTGGTCGAAAGCTGCTGCTGTACTTCACTTCCTCGTAAATCTCCTTCTATATCTGCACCATGCATGCTGTGCCAGGCATTACAACATTAAAAAAAAACTGCCAGAATACATCTCAAGGTCAGAAAAATACCCTCATCGGCACTACCATGACTACAAATCAGTCTCCCATATGTTTGACTCTCACTCTCAAGCTGCAGACTGGAGCTGGTCTTACCTCCTTTGACTCCTGTGGAGGTGAGGATGGGCGGGAGGCCCTCCAGGGGAATGAGGTTGGCAGAGCTGCTCACTAAAGCCGTGGTGCCCCAGCCGTAAGGACCACAGGCCTCCTGGATGAAGATAAACTTTATAAATCCCAAAGGAAACGCCAGATATTGCTCAGATAAAACACAAAGACATAAGAAATGCAATAAGATAGAAATATGATACATTAATGAAATACAATAAATGAGCGAAAGTACGGCAGTAAAAATTAATGCAGGCAGTCACACTGAGGTAATAAATATTATCACACGTGATAATGAAATGTTGCTGAAAAATGAGATGAAACTGAAATACTGCAGAGTGTTGGACATGAACATGATGCAAACCAGAGTGAAATCTTACACATGAAACGGAAATATTGCACCTGAGAAATTACACATGGCACATAAATGAAATGCTACACATGATACTGATACACGAAACTACTGAGAAAAGTAATATTGCAACTAACATTGATGTCAATTTAAATGTTTTATTTTGAATTTAGATTAATTTATTCATTTTCGTTGTAAGGGTCCAGGGTTTTAGCTGTAGTTCCTGCAGAAAGGTGAGAAGTTATGCAGTCCATTTTTACCAAATCTACGATGCCTCTAAATCACAGCAACAATTCTCTGTGTGTGAACCTACGCTGATGGACGTCCCATGCGGCCTCGAGCTTCTCCTGAGCTGCGGTGAACCCACAGGACTTCTCGCCGGACCTCCCAGCGCTCGCCTCATCAGCGGGGAGAAGGAGGGTCCCCTCACCGGCGTGGTCGGAGCAGACTCTGACTGCTTGTTGGCGAGGATTTCATCTGCAAACCACACCCTCCTTTTCCCCCTGGGAGGCGTCCCTGAAGAGAACACATCAGAATTACTCACAGGTTTCTTTGTTTTTTTTAAAGAAGTGCGACTTGTTTTTTAACAGCAACAACGAAAAACGTGTGCTCACTTTTGATGAGGGTTGAATGACAGGAAACACAAACCCGTCCCTCCTTGCCATCCAGATGTGTAAGTCTGAACTTCAGACTGGAGCAAAGTGCACAAAAAACCTGACGACACACACATGCACATGCACACGCCACAGAAGGACACACACACATTTCACACATCAAGTTAAAGTTCTCGTCAAAAATTTGATTGCACTGACAGTAGACCTCTGGATTTTCCTCACCTTCCCACACGCACGGCAGTGGTGCCTCCTCTTGGTGAACGTGAACTTGACGCCACACTTCATGCAGACCTGAGCTTCAGCATCAGGGATCCACACCGGAGCCACCTCCCCCAGGACGGAGCCTCGATCCTTGGACAGGATGCCGATGGGGCTGGTCTGGGACTCGTTATCAGGATCCACAGGAGAAGCTGCACACTCGCCCGTCGCTCCTTCCCCACTGGCTGCCTGGGCCTTGCTGGTTTCATCTCCTTCATCAGATCTGGTCGTCTTCACCTGCAGCTCCCTGGCCTCCTTCCCACAAGTCTCCTCGGGTGAAGCTGCTGCAGTCGCCTCCGAGCTGCAGGTTTGCTCTTGCTGCCCGCTTTCCTCCACCTCCTTCTCCTCAATCACCGAGTCCTCCTTCGATGGGAGAACCTGGGGCTTCTCCTCTTCATCTTCCGGCCAGGCGGCCTCGGCAGGGCTCAGCACCAGAGGGCTGGAGGACGCCTCCCGCTCGCCCCATGTGGAGATGGCGGTCACAGTGCAGCTGCCTTCCTCCAGCTGGGAGTGCGAAGCTGTTTTGGTGGGATACTCGTACGGTTTCTGCTCACACGGCCCGAATGTGCTTCTGATCGTTGCATCCGAGGCGGCTTTGGATGGAGACTCCGCTCTGATTTGTCCGCAGCCCAGTCCCGGTTTCGACACGTCCCCATCTTTGAGCACCAGGAGGCAGGGCCTGTTCAGCCAGTGGTGCTTGGTGTCCTGCAGAGACGGATTGTCTCCTTCATCTGTATCGAGGAGGAGCATAATGATATCATCAATGTCTCCCTTTCTGTCAAGCGTGAACACACTTACAGCAACAGTGATGTAGTCATGAATGAAGACTCATTAGCTGGAAAAGCTGTGTTCACATGAGCTAAGTGGCCATTAAGTACAATGTGATAATTCTTCCCCGCACCTCTGACAGCACCTCACAGCTTTCAGTCACCACTGAACGTCCTTGAAAGGTGCGTCTGAGCAGATCACATTAGGGTTGTTTTTTTAATTTTTAAAGTGCTTTATTTCGACAAAGTATTGACACACAGCCAGTTGTGGAAGAGATTGATGATACCACATAGCTTAATGGTTCCCCGGAGAACAAAAAGTTCAATAGCGGCTCTGTGTCTAATTGGCTCTGTGCAGCACCTCACATTAAAGGCTTGTGTGTTTGCAGGTGTTCTGATCCAAACCCTTTTTGCTGGAGCACAAACAAACATACAATTCTAAGTATGGAAAGAGATAATAAAACAGTTAATTCTGACTCTAGATCAGTGTTTTGTCAACATGTGAGGCACTACATGTTTAACTGAACCCACTTAGTGTGTGTGAAACGACTCCATGCATGATTTCTACATGATCTTCTACAATGAGAGCAAATGTTCCCTGTAATTGCAGCCAATTACTGCTTCAATGCCCTTCCCAGCAAATTAGCAGCAGGCAATGCAAAAGGCTGTTAATGCGTGCAGAGTTGATGTTTCATTGAGCTGCTGCCAGTGATTCATGAATAGTTATAACTCCTGCAAGAGGACTCATCAATTTCTGCACAGATGTGTGTGTGTGTGTGTGTGTGTGTGTGGTTTTAGTACAGAGGGGGGTAAAGGGAATATTTGATGGAAAGGATCGTGCGTAAAAATGTGGTTAAATTAATTTCCCTGATTAAACTGCATTGCAGGTCTTTTCATCCCCACCAAAAAATAAATAAAAGAGGGTGGCGTCGTTTCTACTGTGAGGATACAGAGTCAAGATTTCTCCCCCCCTCCAAAAAAAAAAAAAAAAACAGCGGCGGCGGAGGAGGAGGCTGCACCGATCCGCTTCACTGAGCGCTTCGCTTCCCGGGACAGTGACGCAGTCCGACACACGTGCAAATGTTTAATCCGCTCGCAGGCACCGAGGCCGGCGGCAATGCGACACTCAGCCCGCATCCCCCCCGTTACATCAGCCCGGGCAGGACACTTCAACCGAGCTCATGTTTTTTTTTTTTTCGGCGGAGGCTCCTCGGGACTCTCCGGACAGCGCGTCTATGTGCGCAACACACGCACACACACATTCGAGATGATGCGGTCTATGCGCGCAGCCAAATGCTGGATCAGCGTTTTTCTGTGACAAACACAGACGCGCAGCATCATCATCCTGTAACGCGCAGGCAGTGAATGAGGAGTAAAAAAAAAACACACACACACACACACATCATCCCCACCCCGCTGAGATCAACGCAGTTTCTTACCCTCAGTTATCGCTCCCAGAAGGCTTTCGTTCTCGTCATCCCGCGCAGAGAAGAACTTCAGCATTTTATCCGGTTACATCCGAGGGGAAGATGGATCCAAGCAGCAGTGCCTTTTGCTCACAAGCGGAGGATGGGATGATTTCGCCTCTCTTCTCTCTCCCCCCACCCCCCCACCTACTCTCTGTTTTCTGTGTGATCTCCCTCCTCCTCCTCCCCCGTGTCTCTCTGCAGCTCTTTGAAGAAACTCAAGAGGTGTGCACAAACGTCCCTCCCCAGTTCGCCGTCTCCAGCAGCCCCGCAGGACGACGCGCAAGCCAAGACAAGCCAGCTATGACGCCAGATATGAAAATCCAGCCATCTGCACAAGCTGTCATCAAGTGTTCCAGCAGACTGAGTGCAGGGTTTCCATTCAGGACCACACAAAACCTCCTGCTTTTGTAGAGGACAAGAACATCAATAAATCCGAGCAATGACCACAGCACCATCTAAAAAATGTTAATCACCTTTATTTTGTTTCATAAACAAACAAACAAAAATGTCTTAAGACTTGCTTTAATGACCACTGTGATCCTGACGATGACTGACAATGTGGTTGAAGGGATTTAACCGTTTACCTTTTCTCTCTCATTTTTTTTTTAAGTGCACAAGTCAGTCTGACTGGGACATCCGTGGGTCATCACAAAATAGAAAAGTCTCTGGGGTTTTCAGGGATAGTGTCTGATATGTCTGGATAACTAGACTTTAAAACACAGGGGGAAGGTTTTCTGGCTTCCTCGCAGTCCAGTCCACATGAATCTCATGTGTCAGTTCGCTTCGTTCTTCGACGCTTCGTCGAAGTTCTCCACCAGATCTGCAGAACGGAAGCACGCATTTAAACACTGCATTCGAGGAAATAGTGCACGATGCTGTAGTGATTAGTTATTAAATTAAATGTGCTCAATTTTATTAAGTTTTATAGGAATCACTGAAGGGAAAAAAAGGCCAAACTCTGTGATATCTTTATGAGAATTTAAGTGTGTGGTTTAATAATTAATAGGGAAATGTTCTGAGGTTTAACAGTCCATACCTGGAACATCATCATCCTCTTCCTCGATGTCCTCTGCCTTCGGAGCCTTGCTGTCGAGAGCTGACGTGGAACAAACAAAAAAAGAGGCACATTATTGATGTTCTATTGACTTTTCTGACCTTCCTGTAGGAAACACACCCACAAATAAAAGTATATTTACTATTTAAATGGCTCAAAATCTCAATTTTGTCTCAACTGAAGATAAAATAAGTACAACATGAGAACACCTGATCAAAATCGTAACAGAAAAAAGGAAACAAATCAGAAATGAATAGACCTTAACTCCACGTATCACACTAACTATTAACCCCGAGCTCATCCGCAAAGCTCAACATTTTAATCTGCTCCATCTTTTTGAGAAAACCTTGATTTGCAGTAGATATTTTCACACATTCAGTAGATTCATCAGAGCAACCGAGCGAGACGACCTTTGTCAGGGACGAGAACTAGAACCTAAAGTTACACTACAAGAACAGGACGTCAATTTCTAGTCTTTGATTAAACTCCAAAACTCACCCGTGTGTCTCAGTTACATATTTATAGCTTTTTCTTAAGGCTTTAAAATGGTTTAGATGGGACTTGATAGTATTGCTTCCTCTAAATTATTAAGCCAAGTTGCCATTTTTAGCCGCTGCATCAAAGTGCTTCCAAGTTAAAAAAAAAAAAAAAATTGTTGGTGGTAGAAGTTAACCAAACAAGTTTACGTATTAGGATAAGACCCTGTAGGAGGTTTATGGTGTGATTTTACGATTACTTTACATACTTGGAGTCAAACCTTATGAATTTGACATAAAGTTTACTTGATGATAATGCGTATTAAGGTGCTATTAATTATGCAGAATAACCTAACTACTGTAATAATGTAGCTGCAAGGTGGTTCAGTGGTCAGCACTGTTGCCTCACAACTAGAAGGTCGCCAGTTAACGTCCCAGTGAGGACACCCAGGATTTTTCTGCATGAATTTGCATGTTCTCCCAGTGCAGCTGGGATAGACTCCAGCACCGCACAACCCCAGTGAGGATTATGCGGTGTATAGATAATGGATGGATGTAATAATGTAGCTCAGACCCCACAGTATCATAAATAGAGAACTCAGCCCAACCACTATAAATATTAAAGCTAAGACCTAACAGTGTTATTAAGTATGGTTATTAACCAGACAGATGTAGAACTAAATCTTAGGATTGTACAAAAATACACATGAAATATACAGAAAATGTGCAGATCTAAAAGTCTCTCTCTATCTAGCTGCAGTTTGAGCACACCAGCTCTCCTCCAACTCTGCTCCAACATTTTAAAACTATTCTGTGCAACACAACAGACAGCTGTGACATACAGTAATTCACACAGATATCTTTCAACCATTTCTGAAGACAAACTACACAGAAAGTTTCACCCTGTGAGCTGATTTGTTTGGATTTGTAGTTGTGTTACATATAAAAACAGCCAAACCCACAGAGGAGCAGCAACCTGAGACTGAGGCGATGCTTTAACTCTTCAGCACAGCAGTGAGCCAAAGCAAACAGCCAAGACAACAGTGGAGTAGTTTCAGGCAACCCCGTCTCAAAAAACATTACGTTGTCCAATAAAACTGCATTTTCATGTACGTCTGCATTGATTCTCAAACATCCAGGAAATTTCAGGTGCTTTAGTAAGAAGCCTCCTTTAGGTTCTTGAAGACATTTCACCTCTTATCCCATAGGAGCCAACTGAAGAAGCCTCTTGGATGAGAAGGGAAACATCTTCAGGAACCTAAAAGAGAAATCCAGCTGCTCTTTGCTGAAGTTCCAAGAACTGCCATAAATATTTAAAAAGAAATACATTTATCCATGAAACTGTGGCTTACTAGGAAAGGCTTCCAGTTTGTAAGAGCCACAAACACATCAGAGTATTTACAGTGTACTGAATAAGGGTCTGAATTCTTTTGTACCTAACAGATCTCAGCTTTAGATGTGAAAAAAAATTTGCACTGTTATTGTAGCGCATTGAGTGTCGCTTGATAGAAAAACAGCAGATTTAGCTATAAGGTGTGCAAAAAGTAAAGCACTTCCTGAATTTGTTTTAAATAAATACAACCATCATAATCATCCCAAACCACAAAGGAACAGCTGCAAGTGTTTGGGTTTTCTTTGGAATTAAACTGTTGTCAAACTGAGGTGTCGGGTATAAAGGTTTCTACCTCACACAAAGTGACCTATAGGTGCTTGAAAAGGACAATTCTGATACGTCCCTCTTTTTTTTCCCCTTAAGTCACAATCAAGCTGAGTGACATGACAATGCTTCCTGCACAAATGATTTCTAAGTAGTACAATTCACATTTTCAC